CGCCGTTCAACTGACAGCATTGTTTTCCCCCAAAAGTGGGCGGAGCCGCTATTTTTGCCCGGAAGTGACGCATTTGTTACTCTCATCTATACCTTGTTGCCAGGCAGGTACTACGATGCTCAACAGCTCGCTTAACGGAACTTTGACGCTGGTATCAGTTTTGTTTACCACCAATCACGGGAGTATTGTGTATAGAAAGTGTGTAGTTGTATTTCTTGCGCTACCTAACATCCATGAAGGCATCATGATAGAGGGAGGGCTGTCACTCAAGGTGCCAAACTACTCTTTGGGAAGCCCCGCCCCCCGAAGCAATATCAGGGTCAAAAGTCTGAAAGCGAAAAAAAAATATCTGAAAGTGAAAAACGATCTGAAGGCGAAAAAAAGATTGAAACCTGAAAAAAAAAGATTTGAAACTGAAAAAATAATTGTTTTGAATCTGAAAACGTAAAATCTGAAACTGAAAAAAAAAAGTATTCAAATATCAAAATATGTATAAAAGTGAAATATGAAAATAAATATTGTATTCAAAAAAATTGCTGAACTGAATCAAAATAATATTCAACCTGAAAAATTATTTCAAATACTTTTTTTTGTTTTGAATACAACATTGTATTTTTCAAAGTTCAGGATGAAAACTTGGACTTTCAAATAAATTGTATTTTTTGAATGATCAAAACTTATGACCCTCAAATAGCTCCATACCGTCTTCTCAACCTATAGAAAATATGTTTGTGATATATCTAGAGAGAGATTTAGTCGGAGTGACCTTTAACTAACACCACCAGCCCACTGCTTCTACGCCCTTCTGTCTGGGCGGTGAACGATTAGTCTGGTTCAGCCTTTCTCATCCCCTCCTGCCTTTGGCAAACATGACTGAAAACATGTAAAGAACTAGAGTAAAACAAAACAACCCTGCTGTTTTTAAATATTTAAATTGATGCTCAGATCCACTTTGAAACTTAAACTAAGATACTTTCTCCTCTCTCTCCAGATACAATAGATGACCACACTCTGCTGTGGCTCCTGAATCAGATCCGTTTAGGAATCCCACAAGTAAGCATTCAGGTCCGGCAGCACAAACACACCCAGGCAAATGCCTTCTTCATCACGACAACGTTTGAGAAGTAAGACTCCAAAACTCACACTCTGACTGTGTGAGCGTGTGTGTGAGTGCATGCACGTACATGTGGGCACTTGTACTCCTGTTTTTTGTTTGTTCGGTTATCCTAAAACTTTTCACTTAGTATTTAACTCCATATTCAAGGGAATTCATTATGTTAATTAGGATCAGTCGGCCATATGTGTTTGCATTTATGTATGTTTTGAAAAAAGGTAATACAGAATGTGATCATATTTGTCTTTTTAGTTTTGGTTTTAAATGCCTCTGTTAAAGGAAAACGAATAGTTCAACATATTGAATAAAGCTGTTGCCTGTTATTATCCTTATTAAACCGCCATTGTTATTTTTTGGACATGGACAGGGTAGCTGTTTAACTCTGTTTCCAGTTTTTATGCTAAACTAAGCTAATTGACTTACATACCTAGCTTCATATTTAGTGCACACACCTGAAAATGGGTTATCAACTGTTTCATCTACCCAAATGGCTTCTTTGAGCAGGCTTCAGAAAATGAACAAAAAAACACACTGAGAATTATCACTCAGTCACAGTTGTGAGAGTGTGTGTTTGTGTGATTGTGTGTGTTACAGTCTGTTGTTTGCATACCCTTAATCCGTCAAACATCTGCAGTCCAGCTCCACATAGTGTGAGTGCTCCATCAGGTTTAATCCTGCTGATCATTACCCCTCTCTCCTCACCCTCAGCTTACTGCGGGGAGCTGAGCAGATGGGCATGTACAAGGCCGTCAAACCGCAGTTTGGTGGCGGCATGCGGCGCTTTTCCTGTGAGGAAGACAATATCTATGAGAACATAGAGAGTGAGCTCTGCTTTTTCACCTCACAGGTGAGAGGTTAAAAACTCTGTGGGCAATGAGAGCTTAATGTTCAGTTTGTATACTTATTGTTTCTGTAGCAGCGAAATAAAGAAATACAACTGAAAATGTATCTCAAAATTAAGATGCCGCTTGTGCACCACCAAGCAAATATTGCGCAGGAAATATTTGAAGACCAGGGAAGAATATTATTTTCGTGCATTTATTATGCACGAAAAATTATTCCAATAATCCAAGATATTTAGAACAATGATTTCAACTGCAGCTTTCCTTTGTTTTAACCTTGTAAAAAAAGATGTGTTCATTCTGGTGCGCCAATACCACCACCACTTGTCTCCTATAAATACATTATCACTAGGTGCCCAAAACCGCCTTCAAAATGAAGGCATAAAGTATTACCTTAATTAACAAACCTAATTCAAATATAATGGTTAATTTAACAACAAAAACAGTTAGAATATAAATGTTTAATTACTAAATAAATGTATTGCTCATACATTTACTATGGGTGTTTTTCTGTCCTGCTGTTATCTTCAGGAACAATCTATGTGTCTAAATAATATGCCTTATTTTTTTCTTAAACCCAATAACTATTGTTTTTCTTCAGGAGCGTCAAGGCATCATAAAGTATTGGCTGGACAATCTGCGAGCGAAACAGGGGGAGTTGCTCCACAACATTCATTTCCTGGAGGGACAGCCTATCAGTAAGATTAACTTATGTGTCTTTTCTGTATCTGAATAGCATCTGTCATTTGTTATCTATATTTATATGCAAAGTAAAATGTGTCCATATGTTCTGAATTCAATGTTTCATGATGTGTCCTATTTAGTTCCAGAGCTGGTGGCTCGGGGGGTGATCCATCAAATGTTTCCTCTCCATGAGCAGAGGATCCTCAACCAGCTGATGACGTCTTGGGTCCAGGCTGTGTGTGAAAGGCAGCCTCTGGGTAGGAAATATTAACATTTTATTGTGAAAACACCTTTGTACCAGCAGGCCTAACTGTTAATAAATAGTCAAATCTAATACAGTAATACTTTGGTATGAGCTCGCTCCTATTGTATTTGTTTGAGACCTAATGATTCTCAAAAATAGCTGTTTACATCTTCGTCTGCTTTGTAGATGATATCTGTGACTACTTTGGAGTGAAGATCGGCATGTATTTTGCCTGGCTGGGTTTCTACACTAACTCCATGCTTTACCCTGCCGTCATCGGCTTTCTGCTCTGGATACTTGCGGAGGCCGACCAGGTACTCAAAACCTATTCTATAATAAGATTTGTTATACAAGACTTGAAACAACATGACTGAAAATCACTCTTGTGTACTGATGCTTTCATCGTTATGCTAGGCATATCACTATCTATTGAGTCTATTTGGTTTGTCCCCACACATTTTATAGTTTACCTCTGCCTGATTTGTTGAGAAAATAAGCACATTGTACGTTGAAACAGCACACAGTACCTGCACCAACAAAACAAAGTACTGACACTACTTGTTGTAATCACACTCTGAAAGGTAATATAAGTGTCTTTTGATTCCCTCATGCTCACTCACAGACCAGTCAGGATATCTGCTGTGTGGTTTTTGCCCTATTCAATGTTGTGTGGGCGACGTTGTTCCTGGAGCGCTGGAAGAGGAGAGAGGCGGAGCTGGCCTACAGGTGGGGCACCCTGGACACCCCCGCCGAGTCTCTGGAGGAGCCCAGGCCGCAGTTCAGGGTGAGGACTGTTATTGAAGTTTGAGCATGAGTGTGTTTTGTTGTGGTTTACTAAAACATTTTATTCCTTCCTGCTGTATTTGCCCAAATGTACTCCCAAGCGTTCTTCCTCATTCTTTGATAAAGAGATATTATCTCACTATCCTAAGGTAACCTTGCAAACAGGCCCGGCTAGCTCAGTCGGTAGAGCATGAGTGTGTTTAGTTTTGGCTTACTAAAACATTTTATTCCTTCCTGCTGTATTTGCCCAAATGTGCTCCCAAGTGTTCTTCCTCATTCTTTGAGAAAGAGATATTATCTCACTATCCTAAGGTAACCTTGCAATGTGTCAGTCTGATTGGTTGACAGCACTTTTCAGTCGCAGACGATACCAGGAAATGTGATCCTCATGTTTACAAATCTTCATTCAGCCACACTTTCCCGCCTTACCCCACCTCCTGTTGTGTGAATGAATAGAGATACCGGGGGAGGGGGACTGTGGGACCCCTACAAAAAGACATGAGATACCCCTTTCACACCAAGGCTTTTCCCGTTCTAGCTCCGTGCTAGAGCTTTTCTGGTTCAGAACCGGTTCTTCGGTTCAGCTCCCGCTCTGTTCACACCGCTCAGAGCCCGACTGGTGCTGCCGCTGCTGCGTCATGACGTCACCGTTTACATCGCTGACGGCGCTAGCTGATTTGCTCCCCAACGGCGTTACGGCGCTCACAACAACAACAACAATGGGGGACTGCGTCGGGTCGATGATCGTGTTGCTTTTAATCACACAAAGCCAGATTAAATTAAATAACGACTTCTCCAACCTTGTGCTTTTCTCCAGAGTGCCGTGGTTCATTGTTTATTAATGTGTTTCAGCTGCATTTACCGACCGCTGCAGTGCTGGCTGCTCTTCCACGGGAGTTTATTCTCCCGTTAGCTCCCGGTTAGCTCACACGGCAACGGCCGCTCTAAAGTATTCACTGTCCGACTGTCACACAAGCAGCTGATACATATCCCCAGTTCCCCTCAAGTGAATGTGTGTCAGTCTGAATTGACGCTGTTTGGCATCACAACGCTGTTATTAAAGTGTCTCTGGTATAAAATGGGTGATGTTACCATCGCAACCGAAGCTAAACTGACTACTTGCTATTGCTATCCTATTGTGGCATAAGCCGTTTTCTACAGCCACATTTTACCGGTTTATTGTTC